AGATTTAAGTTTAAATTATAAGAGTGTGTAAAACAGCTGTCAATGTATTGCAATACAAGAGGGCTATCAATGAGAGTGTGTATCAAATATGAGCTCAAAGAGTGTGTATAAAAGGACTATAAACATATAGTACCATGGTACAAAAACAGCGCTGTAAATGGTTAACCTATTAAATAATCATGATTAAGTGTATGATAGCCCAAAAAGTCCTTTTGTCATTTAAGATTATTATTAAAATATATTTGTTAATACTTTTTTATATTAAATTTCATTTTTAAAAATTGACCATTATAAAAATCTCTCGAGTAATAATAATTATTTTAAAATTTATTATAAATTATGGGGGAAATTAAAAACATTTTATGAGTGAAATAAGTGGCATATTTTTAATCATGGTAAATCGTTTCTTATATTTTAATTATTACAAAAGAAAATATCTATTTATTATTTTAAATTCAAGTTTTTAAAGTGTAATCAGATCTGATACGTAAAATGAATTAATACTCTAATCTTGATAACAACAATATGACCTTCGCAATTTGTTTATATAATGCATTTGTTTTCTGTATTAATTTTTAAATTATTTTATTTTAAAACTTATTAAATTTAATTTATTATGTTCAAAATGTCCTATGATTTTAGTGGTAAAGTAGTGCTAATCACGGGCTCGAGCGCCGGCATCGGTGCGGCCACTGCTGTTGGGTTCGCCCGTTCGGGAGCACAGGTTGTGGTGACCGGACGTAACGGACAGAGAATCAGTGCTGTGGGGAAGCAGTGCTCAGACGTATCGCCCAATGGGTTGACAGCACTGGAAGTGACTGCAGATGTGAGCAAAGAAGTCGATTGCAAACAACTCATCGACTCTACGGTTAAGGCGTTTCATAGACTCGACGTTTTGGTCAATAACGCGGGCTATGGTCTCAGTGCCGGTATAACTGATTCACAGTTTGGCCAAAAATTAGACGACATGTTTGCCGCTAACGTTAAATCAGCCACTCTTTTGACACAATTATCTGTCGAGCATTTGACCAAAACTAATGGCAATATTATCAACATTTCAAGCATTTCCGCCACTCAAGCAGTAATCAAATAAAAATTTATTTATTTTATAACTTTTCATTATTGCAAAAAGTAACATTAATATTTAATATCATTGGACAGACCCCTAAGTTGTCAGGGTATTGTATGACGAAAAGTGCCCTGGATATGTTTACAAAGTGCATGGCTGTCGAGTTGGGGCCTAAAGGCATTCGAGTTAATACAGTGAGGTTTGTGTTTGCAATTAAAACCTAACATATAATTTAATTTTATTATAAAACTAATTGTAATTAAATTAAACCCAACTCAAGCCCGGGTGCTGTGCGGACAACAGCGCGCGCAACACGTGGTGAAGCGCCCGAAGACACCGATAGATTCTACCAGAAAGTGAGCGATAGATATCCAGTGGGCAGACATGGAGTGCCTGAAGATATTGGCAATGTTATAATGTATTTAGCAAGTAACCATGCAGAGTTTATAACAGGTGCGATACTTGTTGCAGATGGTGGTGATCTGGCTGGGAATGTTGATTTAAGTTAGTTAAATGTTTATATCATGTTTGTTATGACTCATAACTTATGAGAGTGTTATACATATTTATACATGATTGTTATTTAATATATCATATTCTATGTAAAACAATTATTATAATTTTTATTTCGCGTTATAAATGCAATTTAAAACTCTATAATATAAAACCTCTGTTTCACACATACTTAACACAACAAAATATATACATGTTATATAATTATAATTGTAATTTAAAACTTTTATTGATTTAAAATAATGTTCTCAAACGAATTTGAGTTTTACATTCATTTTAATGTTTTAACAAATTTAATGTTATATCAATAAGGATTAAGACATCAGACATGGCAACAGTTGAACTCATGGTATCTATATTTTATGAAATAATGAATTGTTTAATAGTTATCATTTTAATTTTGTTATAATTAATTATTATAATTTAATCAATGCTATTTTATAAATGTTTATCTATTATTTAAGGATCAAGTAAACAATGATGATGTATTTGAAAACGTGGTGATAACTTTGGATTAATACATGGTTCAATTTTGCAAACAAGTAGACGACATCAAGGGCTTTGTTGATGAAACAGGACTTGCATTAAATTTTTATGAAAATTTACTGTGTCGCAGAAACACCAAGGGTAAGTATTAAATTTAAAACAACCTCTTTATTTAATATTTTACGTGAAGCCCTTATTAATTAATTATAAATTAACATAGATTCAGCTGTGCAAATTAAACAACAATTCTTGAATATTGCGCTAAAACAAGGCATGAATTGAATAATAAAGAGGATTGTATGCAATCAATTGGCAGACACTCGATGTCAATGATTGATGAATTGATGGTAATTTTGGCCAAACATCGCATCCTAACAATTAAAGTCACTGAATTGATGTGCAACTATTACCACACAAATTACCTGTATGAAAGACAATTAAAACCTGGTGGTCAGTTTACTAGTCTGGCACTGGTAGGTAAACAACCCGAGGCTTATGACAGTATCAAACTGGTATGTGAGGCACTAAAGGGCGCTAAGAATAAGCTCGAGGTAGTAATTGGTCTCAAGAAATGTCTGATCGAGATGAAAAAGTTGTTTACAGAGATGGCACAACTGCCCCAATACGTGCTCAGTTGTGTTGAGTCCGAAATGATCGCCGCAGACAACACTTGAAACACGTGTTTATATGTGTTTTAATTTCAGTTTTAGTTGCAATTATTACATATCTCTTATTTAAATTTTAGTATTATAAATAAAGTTTGCTTGTGTAATGTTGCTTTTAATATCTAATTTGTAGTTCGGTTTTTGTTAATGGTATATTTTATTCTATTCTACATACAGTGTTTTAATTGTTAACAGATATTTATATTTTATTGTATAACTTATAATTATTAGTTATTTTAATTGAAAATAAAATATTCAAATATGTATTATCAACCGTCTAGTTCTTCACACCAAAAATATTCATTTTATTCATAAATTCTATATTTTAATGTGACAAATAAATTAATGAACAGTTTACTAATATTTACAGAATTAACAGTCAACTTATTTAATCATTACCAAAGTCTGAGTTTAGCCATGAAAAACCTTAATAACTCGAATTTTAACAAACTTTTACTAACATTATTAGCATTTAATGTAATGATTCAAATTACAAATACAATTAAATATATTTAAATAATATAATATATTATTATTATTAATATTATTATTTTTAACTCTCATAAGTCATAAATGAAATTTCGTTAAAATAATTATCAATGAGTTTATAATCAATTGATTTTACGTTAAAAAGAAACAGAAACAACGGTAATGAATTGCATTATAATAATACATAATTAATTAATTTTAATTTATATTTTGTACTGAAATCAATTTACACAAACTATTAATTTTAATTGTGATTTACAATTAAGACACATTGAGAACACCTGTCATTGTCAAGACCTAAAATATTTTAAAAATTAACGTATTTCATCAAACATCCAAAAATATTGACTTAACTAACAAATAGCTTATTTTATTGATATAAATACATTAATTTACAGTTTTATAATAACAACTATTTTTTAAAATAACTTTCTAAATTTTATAGTGTTTTTAATTTAATAACACTACAAATTATAATTTACATACATTATATTGACTTAGACAAGATAATATTAAATCGTAATTAATTAAAATAATAATCACATAAACCACCAACAAAAATTACATACAGAAATTACAATTACAACTGCATGTCAATGTTCTCCAATTTGCCCGATCGGGGTAAACGGTCCTCAAAGTGATGCAATTCTGGCACTATTTCTAAACTCCCGGAGCCACGAGAGCTGTTGGTGGGCTGACTATCGAGTCCAGATTGACCATCAATATTCTCTAATTTGCCCGAGCTCATTAACCTAAACGCGTATTGGGAATGAGGGTTCTGTGAGTTGTCCACTTCCGCCTCAATTGCGTCCAACGAGATCTCTTCGAAGTGGGTTTGATTAAAGCCGGGCTCCGTATAGGGCGGCGCCGGACCCAACCCAGTGCTCCCGGTGTAGCCCATGACAGGCGCGGGCGGGCCGTCGATGGCGAACACATTTTCTTTGCCAAACTTGTCAAAAAGTTTGCGCCGTTCGCGACACCGACACACCAGACACGCGATCACAATGAGCAGTACGGCGACCAAACCGGCCGAACCGCCAATGATGTACGTGACGGCATCGCACCCGCCATCAGAGGTACTGTCGTGGAACGAGCACTGGTGCCCATTGCGCGACTTCTCGTACGTGGTGTTACTCCAACAGACACACTCTCCCCTTTCGCATACCCTGAAGTCGTTGCCAAAATCATCATGGTCGATCCGGCAATCGGCTCTGGTTTGGCACTCGAAGTACTCGCATGTGTTTAGTGTCGCGTTGTATTTGAAATTAATGGCACAAACGCACCGGTCGTCGACGCACCGCCAATTGTAATCACCCCGTGTTTTATTCATACAGTCAATGGTTTTATTGCATTCTCTGTGTGGTGTGGTTGGGCTGGTGGTAGACACAGGGGGGTTAATGGCTTGAACTAGATTACTATTGTCTTTGTTTGAGGTATGTGGTTGCGGCTCACCATAGCCGGTTGTCACAATGTAGATAAATATTAGCACGGTTAGTTGTTGTTTAATGCCAATCATGTTGAAACTCTTATAAATATCTTTTATAGATAGTTTTAATTGTTTTACTTTTATTTATTACTTTAGTTATGTATTTATTAATTCAATTAATTATTATTTAATACATAATTAAAATGTTTTACATCACACTATAAAACATAACAAGTTATAACTTTAACAGTTATACTTGTTATAAGTAAATCAGTTGTTTTACTAATATAAATGAAATTTTAGGTATAAAAAAGTAATTGATTTTATCGTTGAAGAGCAATAAACAATTGTTAATTATACAGTACAATTGACACGAGAGTTTGTTTCACTTAACACAATCAAGATTATTTTATCAAACAGCAATTAACTCAATTTACTACATAACTGAATTAAATTATATATAATTGCACTAAATATAATTGTAAAAACTCTTTTTATACTAATTCAAAGGTTTGTATTTATTACAAATTAAGTTTAATTCAACAATTATCCAGTACTGGCAACATACTGTTGTTTGTATGAGTAGTTACCATGTATTATCTCATTGGATTTGTTCATTTATATTGGCAATTCTACGAAATGGATTTGTTATGTTATAATAAAAATTATTATTTTACTTTAATGATAAGTTTTATTGTATATTGCACTAATATTGTGTATAGTATTATGAAATTTATTTGAAGTACTTTATATGCAAGTATAATATAATGTCGACTGTATAGAATGGCATTGAATTCATGTTCAAATTTTATCTTATCTGGATGTAAAGTTTTTTAATTGAAAAGCATTGTTTTCCAAGAAAATATTATTAAACAATTTAATTGATATTTGTGATTTATTTCCAATAAATAAGTTATTTTTACAATAAATAAGCATAGGCAATTTTGCATATTCTTGAATTATTATAGAAGTGATGGACCATGATAAGAAGTGATCATTCCCGCGTGTCTATATGACCCAAAAGACATCAAGTCCATCACTTCTATCATAATTAAAGAACATGGTGTTGACTGAGATTGCAATGGTTTGGGTTTGGGTCAGTCAACACCTATTAATACTATTTTACAAACTTAAAGCCAAACAGAATTGCTTGAGACTTATAATAAATAAACTGCAAAGGTTAATTAAATTATTATTTTGAATAAATTGCATATTCTGATTGAACTATAAAAAGTGTTTAATAATTAAATTTAATTTAACAATTATTGTAAAAAGTCCAATTTACTGCTAATTTTAATTAATTTATCTTTATATTAGACATTGTATACAAATTTATTATAAAAATTATTATTTTATCACATCATACAATCATACAATATATTATACAATTTTATCATTAAAAAACATTTTTATAATTCACAAAGTTTTTAATAATTTTTAACATAATATTTAACATTGCATCGTCGTTAAACCAAATATTTTAAATTCACTTACACTCTCTATATTTTATTATACTTTGGAAATTAATTTACAGCTTTACTATAAACACAAAATATGTTTGAGAAAATATAAATAATTAATACAGTAGTTATAAAATCATTATAGAGTTACTCTATTAGAGTACATAATTCGTTTTTGAATTATTATTCTTGATGTTAATTTATCATATTTCTTAACAATTAATTAAGGATAATTTAAATATACAATTGATTATTTAAAATAATATTCACATAAATCAAAACAATATATTAAAATAATGCAGCGATAACCGTCAACTCCCAAAAATATATAATTAACAAACAAATAACTTATTTTATTGATATAAATAAATTAATTTACAGTTTTTCAATGACAACTATTTTTTTAAACCTTTCTAAATTTTAAATTTAGTTTTTATTAAAAACTTTTTAATTAAACAATACTACAAATTTTAATTTACATTAATCATATTGACTTATAATTAAAGATAATATAAAATCTTAATTAATTAAAATAATAATCACGTAAACAATCAACAAAAATCAGAGACAGAGATTACAATTACAACTGCATGTCTATGTTTTCCAATTTGCCCGATCGGGGTAAACGGTCCTCAAAGTGATGCAATTCTGGCACTACCTCTACACTCCCGGAGCTGGTGGTGGACTGACTATCCATTCCAGATTGACCATCAATATTTTCTAATTTGCCCGAGCTCATTACTCTAAAAGCGTGTCTACGGTGTAGGCCTTCGTCGTTTTCCTTTTCCCCGTCCACTGATATCTCTTCAAAGTGGGTCTGACTAAAGCCGGGCTCCGTATAGGGCGGCGCCGGACCCAACCCAGTACTCCCGGTGTAGCCCATGACAGGCCCGTCGGGAGGCCCTTCAATGGCGAACACGTTTTCTTTGCCAAACTTGTCAAACAGTTTGCGCCGTTCGCGACACCGACACACCAGACACGCGATGATCATCACCAGTACGGCTACGATGCCGGACACGCCGCCAATGATCCAGCTCATGGCGGTGCAAAGTGCATTGGTGAAGTCTGGAAAAATGATCTCGCTCTCGCATTTGTGCCCATTCCGTGAGTCCTCGTAGTTATAATTGTCGTCTTGAGGGCAGACGCACTCCCGTTCATCGCATACCCGTTTAGTGTCGCCCCCTGTTTGGCAATCGGCGTTTTGCTGGCACTCGTAGTACTGACACGCGTTGGCCGTCGTGTTGTATTTGAAATTAATGGCACAAACGCACTGCTGGTCAACGCATCGCCATTTGTAATCGCCCTGGGTTTTATTCATACAGTCGGATTTTTTGTTGCAGTGTCTGTAAGGTGGGCCGGGTGTGGTGGTGGGCGCTGTTGGTTCTGTGGTATCAACTGGGTCTGTATTGTCGATTTTTGAATTAGGTGGTTCCGATTTGCACAAACCGTTTGTCACAGTATTTAAAAATAATAATAATATCAGTTTTCGACTCATGTCCATTTTGTTATTGCTATCTTAAATTCTGATAGATGTTTCACTATTTGTTTATTAATTTACAGTATGAATTTATTTGGTTGAGTTAATACACATTAAATTAAAATGATATTAATTAAAAGCATCACAAATTAAAATA